TAAGATGGGGGCCGTGGCTGTCAGCCTCTCTTGGAGACGTGTGGAGAGCACCTCGTATGCTATCGAAACAGTTCAAGTGTTAGCGCCGGTGCTCTTACACAGTACGCATGGGCGAGAGGCCCTGGCTGAGTAACTCGTTGGTTAGGGCATCGTCCCGATACACCACGGCTGAGGGTTCGGTCCCCGGTCAGGGCACATGCAAGAACCAACCAATGATGCACAAGTGGAGCAACAAATCGATGTTTCTCTCTTTCTTCCTCTCTCAAATCAGTTTTTTAAAAAAGCACAAGGATGTTTTAAAACAAATTTGAATAATGAACCAGTAAGAAAGATTAGATACAGTTAACATTTATTCCGAGTGGCACAGGCACAGTCCACGACAGACATTTAGAAAGTATTGGGAATCATTTTTTGGACTTAGGTAGGCATCTTAAATGGAAAGAGTCAGGCCTGAACAACTTACTTTCTTCTTATGAAAAACATTATTTAAGCCCTGGCCAGTGTGGCTCAGTTGTTGGGCACTGTCCCTGTGCACCCAAAGGTCGTCAGTTCAATTCCCGGTCAGGGCACCTGCCCGGGTTGCGGGCTCGATCCCTGGTAGGGGGAGTGCAGGAGGCAGCCGATCGATGTTATGCTCTCACATCGATGTTTTCTCTCTCTCTCCCTCTCCCTTCTTCTCTAAAAATCGATAAAAAAAAATATATATTTTTTTATATTTAAAAACTAGTGCTATGTGAGATCTAAAATTCTGGAGTTAAATGGGAAAACATGAATAGGAATTTTTGGTTACACAGTTCAAATCATTAAAATGAGATTAAAAGAATGGCCCAAATTATTTTCTCCAGAAGATACAGAAAAGACAACATATTATTTGAAATGAGTGAATCTGTTATAGTATTTATAATAATGGGATTTGCCTCATCTGCCACTTAAAGAGCACACTTTTTAAAAAGGTTGTTCTCTTAACAGACTGATGGTTGCCAGAGGGGTGGGGGGTTGGGGGGGCTGCTGAAAAGGGGGAAGGATTGAGATACAGATTGGCAGTTACAAAATCGTCACGGGGAGGTGAAGTACAGCATTGGGAACAGAGTCAATAATGTTGCAGTAACTGTGCATGGAGCCGGGTGGGTACTGGA